GTGCCATCCCAATTAATGGGATGAAGATGGTAGCAATCTTAGAGCCATCTGTGGAATGTTATTTCCAGGCGGTTCAAACTTACTCCCCGAGACCGCACAAGTAAATGGACAAGTTGAAAGTGCTACAGAAGTAATGTGGAATCATTGTAAAGAGTACTAAGCCCTGATGATGGAGGCAGAAAGGACCTCTGAAACGTCGGTAAACTTCTACCAGACTATAGGGTGTAATAACCTAGAAGACAGCCATCTTTAGCACTAAGCCACTTTAGAAACAGAGGAAATATCATATTGACATAAACGTGAATGTGAAGACGGCAGTCTTCTGCGATGTTGCATCAATTTAGTCTGGTAGAAGTCATTGTTTCAGAGGTGCCTGTTGCCTACATCATCAGGTACTGATCACCCTGATGACGGATGCAAATACGCACTTTTAAACTTTTATATAAGAATACCTGTATGAGATAAGAAAATGGTGTTTACAACATACTGACCTGCTTCAAGACTGTGTTATAATGAGAAAATGATATTGTCCCATTCTTGAGTTGTTCATCTGCTTCCTGGATAATCATATTAATATTGATATTATTGATATTAATATTATTAATATCATTTAAGTTAGCATCATCCATTATGTGTGGCCTCATATCAGTATCTTCTCCAACCATGGTGCAAAGAGACCGACGCCTCTCTCCTGGGTCATCTATAACAGACAAAAAATTTATCAACACCATTTATAATTTCATGTATAGTATATACTTGCAATAGACTCATAATTCATTTTATCAGTTATTGCCAGTGAGCTTTATGCATTTATTACATACAAATTCTAAATCATATCTGAAATGACTGCAGATGATTAAGAACCAGAACTAATCCATGCTGGAGGTAAAATATTATACTCTCAGATCCATGGGTAATGTTCACTTTGGAATATGAGAGAATCACCACAGCAATGTAAGTATATTTACAGTTTATTTAATGATACTTTCAGTACCTCAGACCACATGGCATCGAATGAGAGGATGATAAGGAATTTTGAATTGAATAGGATGTCTCAGAAAGCTTATCATGCATTAAACGCAACAGTAAGTATAGTCCCTTTCAGTCCCAAGTCCCATAACAAGTTTAAAGATGAAATATACAGCAAAATTCCAATGTAATGAATTACATTAATTTTTATCCATAAAACATGTGGGGTTATGTTACAAGGAAAATATCCTTGATAATGGACTCAGTATTGAAGATTCCTTGTCTTAAACCAAAACCAAGATATTTGAGATATATTTTAACATTTAAATGTTGAACTCTAGTTCAAATTTACCTGGTAATCTGTGATAAAGAAGTGGTCGCCCAAGTTTATCAAACTTTCCAGTACTCCTGTGAAAATGTGACATTCCTCTGTCCCTTGGAGTTCCATATAGCATGTCCCTTTCTCTCAGTGGTGAACCAGACCCTGGAGATGAATTGCGTAATTCTGGTAAATCAAGAGCATCATGACCGTAATGACCCAGAGGCCGCAACGGAGACTTATATGTGTCCGGTCTTTTTTCCTTGTATTTAGCCCAACCTCGAGATTTCAATTCACTTTCACCATTTTCTTTTCCATCATCTTCATTAACAGTTTTCCTTTCATTGACATGGTCTTCATTCCGTTCTCTTTCAGGTGAAACTTGTTTTGGAGATGAAGTTGTGTTTGCTGAACTGTCTTGAGATGATGCTGATGTTGGCACAGGTGAAGGCAGAGATATTACTGGAGGTGGTGGTGGTGATGGAGGTAAAGTCTGAGTAACTGGTACAGCAGAAGGCAACTGTCGGAGATCCACATCTTCATTTCCAAACAACCTGAAATTGAACCACATCAGCATCAAATTATGCAAATTATTTAATTAAGAATTCCCACCAGTAAACTAACAGGAAGAATATTTAAATCTATTGTTTAATATACTAAAAACATGCCACAACTTTTCAGGAAATGGCTCCGCCCCCATGATAAAACATACTCTGTTGGCTCCACTGGAAGGGGGATTCAGATATCACTATCTAATGAACCTGCTTGATAAATATGGTTGCTGGCTCAGCGGCAATGCATTTATTTTTCAAGCTAATGAGCAGAAATTCACAGTTGTCACCTATACTGGCATGTAATAAGAGCCTTATTCTGTAGAATGAAAATACTCTGATGGAAGTTAAATGTATCTGATAATAAGAATTACAAATGTATAAAAAATACTTAATTTTAAGTATTAAATATGTATATTTTAGTGCACAAGCTTGGTGGGAATAAAGGACTTACTAGTTTGTCATAATCATAACAAAAAAAAGTCTTACAGAACATTCCACTGTTATCTATTTTTATAGGAGTCCCATTTCTGTATTTTAAAATAATTTTAAAATTAAAGTTTATTTTATAAAAATTATGATAAAATAGAATTCATTATTTTTTTCTTATAAACTGACAATTTTATTATATTAAAAATACCTATTTTAAAATCTTTCCAACTTTAAAATGTAAAAAAATTGTCATACCAAAATACAGCTAGTTTAAATAATCTGGTAATGAAATGGTTAAGCCAGAAGTTCTCAGCCTTTTCCAGACATGGGACCATAGCCACCCTTTGCTATCAAATCATGGGCTTCAAGGTTATAAGTTAGGACAGTTTGTTCAAAAGTCATGGTAGTTTTAAAAATGCTACTGTTACTATTTCAAACAGGTTCACATATTACTCAGTAATTGCCTTTAACAAAATCATTCATTATTTACATATATGTCACTGTTTTCAAATGACAAACCATTCGATAACAAGTTTAATTTCTGCTGCTGCAATTCATGTACATCACTTGAAGTGCTCCAAGTAAGACAAATACTGGTTAACTTCATCTTCATCATTAATCTGTATGCAGTTGCAAGTATTTGACTTCAAATATGTCTACAAGCCAATTAACTTACTCATCAAACACTTCTGCCTTAGTTTTCTTCATTGGTGGCTGTTCTGATCTGTCCGTGGATGAACGTTTCTTACAGTTTGATCCAGACAGTTGACGCAAATCCACATCCTTATTCCCAGCTTCTACAAGTGGTTCTGGAACCATAACTAAAAACATCATAAAAATGCCAATAAATTATTTCAGAATAGTATCAAAAACTGCTCCTATTTGAGAAATCTGTTCATGTTGTACGACAATAAAATAGGTATAATTTAAAGATTCTCAGGTATACAAATCATCTTGTCAGAAAAACTGAGTGGTACAAACAAACAACGCATTGTGAGTGTAATTCAAATGAAATAGTTCTGCTTAAAAATAAAATAACATATATCCAACTGCATAAATGGTAAGATAAGAAACTTACAAACTAACATGACATACATAATTCAATACAATCTTTTGAGATCTAATTTTATACATGAAAAATGAATGTCACTGATAAATATTCAAATGCTAACAACATAAAACATACTGAAATCAGAGTTAAAATGAAATAAGCTAAATTCAATCACTGACAAAAATTAACAAAACAGCAGCTTATGGATTCATGTACAAAATCTGCCAATGAGCAGTTAGTCATTTCCCTAAATATTCCTATCTAAGGCATATGCAATAAGTTTTTGCACAAAGTAACAACTTTAGAGCAAAGAAAACACAATTCCCCCTATTGGGAATACATCGTCTGTAGTCGGGGCGAATCTGTGCATGAATTCAAGGTCCATTAAAAGTAAAAAGCAAGTGGAGGGAGGGGTAGCAGATAAGGAAGTATATACTATCCATACTATAAACATTATTTCCCAACAGCAGCCGGCTACCATCATAATGACTATCTACAGAAAAATGTATCAAATGTAACATATACATACTATTTATGGAAAATGTACGCAGAGAGCTAAAAAGATATCTCTGTGTTACCCAGGTGCCACATGCATATACTCAAATATTTATATAATTTACTTTGATAAATAGATATATAGCGAGGTAAATTATTAAAAAATACTGAAATCACTTTTGTAAGGTAACAATTAATTACAGTTAACACAAATATGACTGTATTAATGGTGCAAGCTACAATAATAAACACCACCAAAGAAAACCTTAAATACACTGCATCATGGAGGTGAAAAAGCTGAAGGATATTTGGCTGTAAAATAATTATATCCCAGTAACTTTCTCAGAGCCCTTTTTTTGTAATTCTGTAACAATCATATTGGTACATGAGATTTAGTAATCTGATCCCAAATTACTTAAGGTAAGATACTACCATGTTTTGAAATTAAATAATCTTTAAAATAATATTCCAATTCTACATTATATATGAATCTGGGTATTTAATTTGTTTCTACTAAATTCCTGTACAATCTGTATATTACTCCTCTTGTACTCATTAAGAAAGAGTAACATGAGTTATCGACCACAGACAGACCATACAGCAGATGGAACTAAGCTCTTCTTGTATCACTGAAGAAAATATTAATAGCACAGAAAGTTAGATGATGGACAGGCATAAAGTATTACCCAAATAAATAAAAAAAACAGGGTCATATTGATCGGCTTACACTGAACACAGACCAACATCAACACATAACTTCACAACTTCTACAATAAGAGAAGCAAATTAAAATCAAAGATCTGTGGTTCTCATTGTGGTGAAAATATCAGAAGTTGTCTTCTGAATCATAACATTATGGTCATGCACATGGTTACCAGGATTTTGGAGGAATACACTGCCTCCAATTCCAGCCTGGTAACCACCTACAAGACCACACAGTGTCAACTCAGAACATGACTGACACAATTTCAGGTCTTCATTTAGTATTTTATTAGTGTTATATCCATAATTTCTGTAAGTGCTGGCAAACATACTCAAATATTTAGTTTCCTTAAAGAATACTCCCAAAAGAAAAAGAAATGTTAAATTTTCTTTTCTGTAATGGCAAGAATTTTTATGCGATAAGGTCATTATCATAATTTTAGTACTCCAATAGCATCATAAAATCAATCTTCAGGCAAAACGCACATTTATATATCACGTGAGGATGTAAATTTTATAATGTAACATTTATTATACCAATCCGCATTTTCTAACACTAGACTTTATTCAGTCATGAAAAAATAATAACCTTTATGACGTTTGAAAGACATAGTGAACAAGAATGAAAAGATGCACTATTATAGCCTTCATACAAGCCTTTTCATATTTAAATAAAAGACCATTATATTTCTTTAAAAAATCCTTAAATACCCTTCTCATATATTTTTTATTTACTAATAAGCTATCATGGCAACCTGAAAGTTCACCTTAATTTTCAACCAAAGTGGCAGTCCTAACTCGCAAATATGACTAACTTTCAAATATCTCTCAAAATTTTTGTACATTCTCTACGACAAATATAATCAGAATCTAACAAATCATCCAGTATGACAGACATTACAGTATCAGTATAAGACATTCATGTTACATACATGTGCAAAAGTAATTATCATAGTCAACAATGCTGCCTTTTAAAAGCTTCTAGTTGAAAATTTTACTACACTATTTTATTACATAATGAACACTAAATACTGACAGTTGAAACTATCTCAACTGTGAATGATTTAAATTTAAATAATTTGTTTTCAAAGCCACAGAAATGTAGACTAAATTGGTTCAGAGATATCTTAAGAAGTATAAGGAATTGTTCGGAGCATGAACCTGGATAATGTTACGAGATTCATTACTGTGCCAAGAGATATTCTAAAAATTGAAAAATCTAATAAATGGAAACCAGGTGTGCACTGCTTGACATGGTTGCTATATAAAATTCTACAATGTTGGACACATATTTTGCAGTATTATCTTAAATACACAGTTTAAACAATGCTAAGCTATTAATTATACTTCATGTTTCACTGCAATCTCAGAAGGTCATATTATTTATATCTCAAAGAATGGAGCTAAGGATAATATTTTATTTGCTTAGTAAAAGAAACCTTCAACACTGCTGTTGTATACCTAATTTTCACTCGATGTATTCAATAAAGAAAGGTGATATACTTATATATTTTACAGTGAATGTCAGAACAAACACAACCCTTTAGAATGATTCATCATGTCACAAAACCCATTATCTATTCATTAACTGAACTGTTAAGTGTCTTATTAACTCAAGTCACTAAACCAGTGATTTGGCCTTACCTGAACATGTCTGAATGCAATTTATTTGACCTCAAATTAAATACATATAAGTAATCAGTGTTAAGTTGGAGGACAAACTGTATGACAGGATTTGGGGTTTTCACAGATGGGGGTCTTCTGGGTTATTTTACCATGTAAAATTCTGGCTGCATGCCAACATTTCAAAGGAACATTCTGGTTCCATATACAGGGCTTACGTGAAGAATGACAGGAAGTGGATGGTTTATATGGGGCCTGATCCTACTTCTAAGTTTATTTAAAACATACACATCACAACAGTCCTGACTTCAGCCCTGAATATGAAGGCAGAATGTCCAATATTGGTCTACAACAAAAATATTACACAGCACAAGCACTGCTGCCAATTACACAATCCTTGGTTCACATATCATGGTACGAATGAAGCATTAACAAATCCTTGTTGACAAAGATCAACATAAATTGACCCTACAGATAAAATCCTATCAGAAAGGATATGAGATGGTTGTGGTGGTGTATATAAAGATAGCCATCTTCAAAACCCTACCGGAATTTCAGTACTTTATAACATTAACATGCAATATCGAAACTCTGATTATTCTCCTTCGCCAACAGAAAAACAATATTCAAAACTGAACACATGTGGAATTCTGCAAGAAGCACATAAGTAGGTGACATGTGGCCTACTGTTTAAGAAGCCCTGATTTACTTGATGAGACAAAGGTAAAATTGTCCCTGTGCTTAAATAAGAACCACATCATGTAACAATTTAAACACATAAATTCTTAATGTCAGCAACAGATGAGTCATCAGCTTCACACCCCACACACGATGAGATGCATATAAAAGTCGATTTAGGTCTTCAACTGCTAGTCATAACCAGACAGTAATAACTTGATTGAGATTCTGTCATAGCAAGAGCCGACCATATAGAGTATCATAAATTCTGGAGGGTTCAAAATGAAAGAGTAAACACGAGACATGACATTCTCAGAGCAATGAAATTGATGTTGGTCTTCTGAATTGTAACATTGTGCAGACTGGTATGTAAATACCAACATTTTGGATGAACATACAGCCTCCATCTTCAGCTCTGAAGACATAGAACCATGTGGCCTTGGCATCAATCTTCATCCCTGAAATGTTGTTACAACCCAGAAGGCCAACACTGACAAACACGAAACAGTGTATGCTCATAACACATTCTTAAAATTCTGCTTCAAGTAAATGACATACGCTGTACAACCCAGCATCAAAATTTGCGGTGTAAATTTAGTTTTGCTATCTGAAACACTGTTCAGTACTTTTCAGTGCTGTTCAGGGACGTTATATTTACTGAACTTTAAGGGAATGTTTTAATGTGAGTCGTTTTCAAAGTTTCACACAACACATTCATTCTAATAAAGACAATGCCAATGTTCAATTATAGCTGAAGATATATTTTACTATTACCATAAGACATATTACTAACATTCAGCTACAACTGTACTTTACACAAAGAACAGTAAAAAATTAAGAAAGAGATTAAATTGTGGTATGGTAAAAGTGTATAATCTCAATTCTCACTTGCATCTCATTGCCTTCCACAACAGAAACTATTCTTTTTATACTGTTAGAGAAAATGCTTTTACAATGACCACATATTGTGCCCGACTTATACCCTTAGAACAGAATTGTAGGGCTCATCATAAAATGTACAATTTGTTAAGCCCACCCTTCAATTTTTGAGAACTAGAAACTTTTAATCCCTTTAATGATGTGTTACACACTGCCTGCCACCACCCTATAGAATAGCATCATTTAACAACTATGTGCACTTTGCATCACATATGCTGGCACTCAAATTTTTAATGTATATTTTAACAATTTTCGTAGTGATCCAAATCAGCTGTCAAGCAGTAAGTGAAAACTTTGGGAGACAAATTCATATGCTTATAACACCTCAATATGAAAACTTGAACTTCTGTTACTACTTCAAGAGGAAAATTTACATAAAGGAGCACTAGGAAGATAGGGGAAGGAAATTAAGAACCACGTGTTGTCAAACTAACAGAGATAAAACTCTTCCAGTTTTATATCACAAAGGAAGTCCCCTGGGTAATATGCTCTTCAAATATCAACTACATACATAAAAGTTTTTTTAAACAAAATTCCTTACTAATAACAGCAAATGCATAAACAGGATATGGACATATTTTTTATTCATATTAAACTTCAGACTATATTTTCAGCATTTTATGTAATAATTTGTCACACTGATGGAAAACGTACTAGACACTTTGATAACTGTCAATTTACCCAATACTGTGAACTTCTTTAAAAGTCCACAATGTGAACGAAATGTTGTATCATCTTTTATCACTACTGCATGAGGCCTTGCACTGATAACCATACTTTCATTCTTTTATCATCAAATTTTCATATTTCTATATTACCACATTTCCAATGTATAAGTATGCAGTAAGCAGGCTGAAATATTCTAAACTTCTGTACAGGTAAAAATATTTTTGTACTGTTATCTAACACTGGCCAGATTTAATGCTAATAATCCTGGAAGCACACTGTTAAATGTAATTTGACAAAAGCCAAACAGTTTGGTAACCGCTTATTGTCTATCAATAAATTACTTTCACTGATATGACAAAGACTTCGCAATAAATGTACTACCTCAAAAAGTAATGCAATGGGTGCACCTGGGCAAAAGAAGAAGGGGAAGACCACAGAAGAGTTGGATGGATGGGATAAGCGAGACAATGGGAGAAAGAGGCCTAGAAGCTGGACAATGGCTTTAGAAGGAAGAATGGAAACAGGGAATTGTAGGACATCGACAGACGTTTTAAACCGATATATATTAATAACAACGGTTTTTATATAAAATTTAATATAGTACATACAAACTATAAAAAAATGATTCCAACAGATTGTAATAATGTTCTATTGCTGTACTCTTCAGGTTTTAGCAACAACTGATTTGTTAGTATGTTAAATAATGTCACTGTTGTATTAATTCCTGTATTAAATATTCTAACATTTATAACAGATTTTCTGAATTAATTTTTCATTTTCATTTAAACCAGATAAACCCTGGATAATCAGAAGTCTGCTATATATTTATATGGTACCTGTGAACATTATATGTTCACAGGTACCCTATTAGCAAAAACCCTGTAGCTTGAAATGTAAGAACACTTTACATGTACCCAAAAAACAAAATGGTACTCCTTCCTGAAAGCAGCTTAATAACTTACAGAGTACTATCTGAAACACTGCAAAGGCCATATCTTTGAAACCTACAGAGCAGTAAGGAATTTTTCATGACATATACAGAATGGACCAGAGAAAGTATGTTTAATGTATCTGGTTTCAAATGCATCTTTAAAACTAAGAATGTGTTTTGACATCATGTTTGTGTGTATCCTCCCCTACCAACTTCTAAACCAAATCACAGATATTTACTAAACCTTATTTCCCTAGGTATAACCCCATATTTGTATTTTTTAACATCCTACCATAATAATACCAATATGGTGTTTCTGTAAACTTTGAGGTTACAGTGGGATCTTAATATTTTGTCTGGCAATAAACCTTTGAAAAATATGCAATTTTTTGTCAAGGCAACATTTTTGTATACTGCAGAAGATCAGCATAGTAGCTGCTCATACATATATATTATTTAGCTTCTTAGACTGACTGACAATAACTACGAACCACCGGAACGAAATATTAAATCTGATATACAACTATACCGTAATATAGTGAAACATTCTACATTGAAATTATGTGCTTGCAATGACAAACATGGCAATGATGTGAAACTCTGAGGTTTTACCTAATGAAATTAATGCAGAAGGAACATGTATGTACAGAAATAGATTACAAAATTGAATAATAATAATAATTTCCAGTCCTAGCTAACCTCATCACAGACTGAAACATTTGAAATAAAGTAGTTTTCTTACATTCTACCCACATCTTTTAAAGCTTTTACGTGACTACTTTTGTTGAAATCCCCCTGAGTGATTCAAAACTTAAATAAGAACTTCAGCACCTTTCTCTTGATCAGAAATGTCATATGAACATAGTTCAAATTCTCATTGGTTATGTATTTATCATTACCTGCATAAAAATTATAATATACAAATAAGTACTTAAGTTACTACTGTTGAATTAACAATAAATGTTCAAAATGACTACCCTCAGTCTCAGTACAAATCTGTGAATCATGATGCATCAGTTCATTAGAACTGTCTTTAAATGGCTTGCACCATACAAAATGCAATGCAGCTAACATTTACATTTTTGTTGGGATACCAGATCATTCAAGTACCCCTACAGACAAAAAACTAAACCGTTCAGGTCTGGATATCTTGATGGCCAATGTTCTTGACCACCACAACCAATCCATATATAGCGTGTGAAGATCAACAAATTACCATTAGATAGTTGTCTGATATGGTCAAAATATCTGTAGGAAGTGTACACACCAACATTAAAAATAATATGATCATGTCCTGTACCTGTGCAAACACTGTCATTCAATTTTCTGATGCATTCATTACATACCCCAACCTCTCTACAGCCCAGATCTAACACCATGTGACTTTTCTGTTCCTTACACTAAAAAATAACACCTTCAAGGAGAGCACTTCCAGACCACAGATGTTTCAGCGAAAGCTGTGGAGGCCATTTTAAAGAAAATGTCCAAAAATGGCTTCAAAAATGTCATTGACGAGTAGCAAAAATGCTAGAAGTATATTGATTTCAGGGTAGCCTATTTTTAAAAAGGACACACTTGTAATGATTCAGAATAAAGGAACTACGCTTTAAAAAAATTGTTCTTTCTAAACCTTTATTAAACAGCCCTCATAGATTAAATAAAAAACCTTTAAGGAAGTTCTTGTTCACTTATTATTTTACTAACAGTAAGGCAAAGATAAATCCATATCCAACGATAATCAGACCTATATTTATATTATATTTCTGCCTAAAAATGACCTCAGAAATAAGCTCCTGCAGTACATTTTCAAGAACCACACTGCAAACGATGCAATGTACTGTAGTCATGACTGAGGCCCACCTAACACCTATCAAGAGTACACACACAAAACAATCTAGCTTCACACACAAAGTTTCATCCAGCTATTTCAGTTTGATTCAGTATGCATCATTAATAATTTAAATGCCTCAGGTTCAGCCGGACAGACTGTCCAACATTCGGAAATCATGTGAGAAAATATGGTAAATGTTTTAAATCGAACAACCAGATCTCATTCTTTTATATATTCTGGCTGTCCAAAAACTACATACAGGATCGCTACGACAACAGAAAGAGTGGAAAGTTTGCTCACATAACTTACCTTACTCTAAATTCAATGCGACAAACTTCAGACTTCCATAAAAGATTACTCACGCATATCAAGAAGTGTGTGATAAAATTATAAAAATGAAATACAGAGATAAACTGTTGCCATAGTACAGTGCAAAATTCCCAAAGAAACAACCCAAACCAAAACAGAGAAACCCAATAACCATGTAGTGAAGACTGAAAATCTGTTAGCTTACTTTTGATATCCTCTTCAGTGGAAGCCAAGGATGCATTTGTATCTGGCTGGAACATGTTAAGACGTGGATGCTTCTCTGGAGGAGCACCCAAGCGCAAGTCCACATCTCCAGTGGTTGCCACAGGAGGAATTTCTGGGCTGCGAGATTTAGCAGGCAGGTTTCTTCTCACATAGTTACGACCTTTTGGTAGCTTCAGATCTTTGAACACGCTGCCCTTAGATGTGGAAGATTCTTCTTTCTTCTTACCATCTGTACTGATGATTGGAGGAGGTGGCGGTGATGGAGAATCACCCTCTGACTCAATGAACATGTCGTACTTAGAGGAGGATGAGCGATCATGATCGCGACTGAATCCTTTCTCCCCTCCCAAAGGACTCTTTGGTCGTTCTCGCTTATTACTACTGCTACTAGAGTTCCCACCCATATCTGCAGATTCACTGCCAGCTTTACCTGACCCTTTCTTCCTCTCAGATCTGCTTGTACCAAGAGGAGAGGATTTCTTTTTATGATGTTCTGTCTTAGAGGAAGGGGAACTACTTTTGATACTAGTTTCAGTATTCTCTTCATTTCTAACAATCTCATCCTTTGTACCTCCTGCTTTGGGTGGAGGACTATCCGTAAGGTCAATCTTTATTATCTTCGGAAGGTCTTTGTTACGTGGTGGCTTTGTGCTACCATTATGGCCACCTTTACTTTGTATTTTGCGTTGTGATGATGAGGAAGAGGATGGGGAAGTAGAAGTCTTACCACCACCACTAATACTAGGGCGGGACAAGGAAAAAGAAGGAGAAGGGACTCTTCCCAACAACTTGCCACCCCCCTTACCACCAATCCCACTACTAGTGGTAGATGATGTCCGTCCTTTGACATTACTATTACTTAAACCATGTACCTTATTACTCAGCAAACGAGGGTCTTTCTTACTAATTCCTCGAGTTTCTTTATTCACAGTACCTTTATTGGCACAACCAAGATTGATTGTGATCTGAGGTTTGGGTTTGGCAGTCTCTAGTTTAACTGGTTCAAAAACAGAATCAGGTTCCTGCATTTCCTCATCTTGTGTCTGAGCTGTATTATTTGCAGAAACTACACTAGACTGCAACTGCCGAGAAGCCAGTCGTGGATCTCTTGATCGCACATTAGGACCGACAGTAGTTCCTGCTGGTGCTGGAACTGGACGAGAGCCCGTGCTTAATGATGATGTTGCAAACGAAGTCTTCAATCCAGTTGCTGCTGCTGTTGTTACCAGCTCAGTCTTCGCCCTGCTACTTCCTAAAGCACCATTACTACCCCTTGCAGTAGTATTAACTGCTTCAGGAGCAGTTACTGCAACCATTACAGAACTCTGAAAACATAAATTAAACGTACTGTTAAAATACTCATCAGGACACTCTATAATACATAGCACAACATCCCAGAAGTCATCTTCACACATTTCTAATACTGTGACTTTCCAAAAAGAAAATTGTTTCAAGAAAGTATATATACACAGTTACATCTAATGTTGTATGCAAACAAATACAAAGATTAAAGGCTATCAAGTCACATAATACATTTCTGCGCCCACAATATACAAGTGGCATAAGTATGTGACTTTTGAGAAGTAACATTTCCAATAAGGTTTTCTGGATTCTGACACTGTGCGGTCTTGTAGGTACTCAATCAGAGAAATGTACTGACCCCACTGTCAAGTGAGATCTGACACAATGAGCCACAGAGTAGGTGCCCCCTTCACTTCAATACGCCTGAAGACAAGGACAGATGCAATCCTCACAATGTGTTTTTTATAACATCAGACAATGGACATGGTCCAAAACCCAGAAACCAAGACTGTATTATACCATCGCCAGTACCCTTCAGAATCCACAAAGTCCATATTTTTCACCTTTGCCATGAAGCATTATCTATAAAATGTCTGTAAACTTGAATACATGTACATAAAATCAGAAAGGCTAAAAAACAATCTATTACATTATGAAACCACAGAAATTGAACAACAAAAAGATTTCTGTCTTCTGGGTTGTTGCGCTGTGTAGTCTGGTCGATGTTTACCAACATCCCTGATGACTGAGGCAGTATGACCTCTGAAATGTCGGTAAACATCGACCATACTACACAGAGAAACAATCCAGAAGACAGAAATCTTTATACTCACCGCTGTGAAAACCTCAAATCTTATATTGTACAACAATTTTGTTTTATCTACCTGACTATAATTCACAGCTGTCTTCATGACAACTGGGGCAGGATCAGGCACTGTTGTTTGAGATTTTGTGGCAACCAATGGAGATTCTGTTGGTTTATGAGTCACAAGTAGCTTGACAGCATCCTGGCCAGCAACTTTCATTCCTGGCATTACGAGATGCTGGAAATAAAAGACATACTATTAGACTTCAAGCCTTTTCCTCTAGTCCATCAACATGGGGAGGGAGGGGAAGTGACAGCACATACAGCATGTTGATATCCCCTTGCCCTTTCTATCCAACAGTGATGTAGCTGAGGCCCACAGATATCTTGTATCCAGTATATCAAGCATGAATCAGATACTGGGGACATAAATTAAGACTGGCTCAGGATAGAGCAAATGGCAAGCTTTTATGGTGACAGAAATTTAGTGCTGTTTTTCACAACAGCTAACTTCTCCTAAAATGAATAACTACTGACAAGAAATAATTGTACCACAGAGCAAGCTGGATTTCAGGTTCTCACGGCGCAGAGGATAAAAACTGCTATATTCCTCTCAAACGCCGGTAAACTTACACAAGAGTACATGTCACAACAACCCAAGACACAGCCATCTTCAGGGATGGCTCATTAATATTTATATGAGAAAAATATTTATATATTTATTTATAGATCACAACAGCAGCCCTCACCTGAACATTGTCAGCCTTTAAATTACCAGTCTGCCGTTCTAACTGTTTCTGTTGTTCTTCTAATCTTGCCTTTGTCTGGAGCAATTCAAGCTCCAACTTTTTCTGTTGAAGTTCAAGAAGCTCCTTCTGCTTTTTCAGCAACTGCTCCCTCATTTTCGCTTCATTAATTGTGTGTGGATCTTCTGTGACCACGGGCAGTACGGCCGGTGCAGTCGGTGTAGTTGGTGCAGTCGGTGTAGTTGGCGCAGCCGAAGCTGCAGTAGAAGACGGTTGAGGACCAGGAACAGCACCGGCTTGTTGCTGAAAGAAATTTTTAAACTCCGTAACTTCCTCTTGTGTCATCTTTTGCCATAATTAACAGTCTGTATTAATTTGCACAACTCACTCTGGTAAATGCTTTGATTCTTAAAGTGCCTCAGCCTACAGGAGACCATCATGAAACACTCATATATAATACGTACACATGAAAAATCTTACAAAATCCGTAAGTACACAATCAAGAGTTACCGTATTCAATGTTGAAGTGGGTGGGACACATAGATACCATTGAGCTTTAAAGAGTTTGTAAAGTGTAAGAAAAATCTGTCACTCTGCAGTGTCATCTACATTGCAACTAATTTAACTAGTAGATACGTGTCTGCAACAACCGAACATCAAAAATAATATGGCATACAACATAAAAAATTGAATTCAAAAAATATGAAGTAGACCTTTTCCTTCACCCTTGTTTGTTGGTTTTTAAATCAACGACATGTCTGATCACCCGACAGAACTTAATAACATTCATACACCATAAAACTTCAAATCTTTCATAACATAAACAAAGTTCAGAGTTTGAGAATGTAATAATAAAATAGCATTTATACTTACCCGAAAAAACTTTGGATTCACATGTATGGTAGGAGGTACAGCTGTGATCGGCCATGCTGGATCAATTGAATTCACACGTACATCCACAGCATACAACTTCTTTGGAGGAAACACCTCATTCCATGTTTGACGCAACTTAAACATCTGAGCCCGAGTTTTTTCGTCCACCTATATAAATGAATCACATTACATGATACTGTCCCATACATTAAAAAAATACTTCCTTGACCATATCCACAATATTTGGCAGCAAAAACATATTAAAATAATGCATACCTTGTGCTTCACACATGACCAACCTAAATTAAAAATTATATAAATCTAAATAATTTCCTTCACAATACAACTGTTCAATGATCACCAAACGGCAGGGCCAAGTTCACAGAATTCAACAAACACAAAGTGTACATTTGCAAAAGCTGTTTTCTAATCACAGAAGTAAAAGATATTTACAAAAATAAAAGTGTAGATTCCACTAAATCTATCAAAGGCTCAACAGATTACATATAAGTCTTAGAAAAATGAAGAGTTTTCTTTCGATATGACAACTACTTTGGCTGGTTAGATATAGTCAAGAACTGAAACACATAGAGCATTTCCAGCTTTTACAAAATTTTCTTTTAGGTTCACATTGTTTTTACAATGAATGGCATGTTATCAATCTGTTATCGTCGTCATCAATATCAATAATAATAATAAACACCTATCAGGCTGATAAAATGAATTTAGGTTCGACATTTTAACTCAAATATTATTATCAGTTATGTTTCCATTTCTGTATGTATTTGCTTATTTAAAAACAGAATTCAAAAGGGAATCATTAGCTGCTAATTACAATTCAAGTTGAAGTCTTTACACAAAATGGAAATATGACAAAAAAGTCTCCAGCCTTCTGAATCAAACGCATTATTTAAACTGTTTATTTACTAAAAAGCTGTGGCAAATAAATATAATACATACAAGATGATAATACAATATGCATTTGCATTTGAAGGAATAGTCACTTATTTAACAGTAGATTTCTATTATTCTTTTATGAATTCAAAAACTTAAATTCAAGTTATTTTTATATATTGTAAAATTCTACAGATTTCCTCAGAAGGGTTTACATATTCCTAATGTGGGCTTGAAACTAAAACATTTAACAAATGCAAAATAAATGCACTGATGTTTAAAAATGCAAAACAAATAGGTAGAACTAGCAATACCCAGCAAAATGTAATGTGAAATCAAAAATATATTAATCATAAATTTTAATGTATGCTTTCAATTTGCTATTCTAAATTACTTATTTTAATCAAATTTTACTGTAAAATAGTATGTATAAAATGTTATGGATCAACAAACCAGCTGAAAACACTGTTCCAGAATACATCATACTCAACTTGCTACAATCATAAGCTACTAACAAAGCATTTTACAGCAGCAAGTATTATATGTATGGATATCTATTAGTGTTTGCCCATCACTGGCTCTTTGCTGTTGGTAAACACTCTAATAAAGCAGTGAAACAAAGTAAATTATTCAAAATTTAAAAAGAATCCATTTAGTCATTTCTTGGGGTTGTCTTTTCCAGAAGTAACATATGTCTGAACTGGCATACCAAGACACAATATGTTTACCTTAACATAAAGTGAGTCAGTCACCAGTTTGGTGTTTGAGATTCTCTCATTCAAATTAATACTTCACATTGGGTACCCCTGTATGAAGACGGGGACCCAGTTTCCAAAAATATAAGATTGTAAAACATGATTGGAAATATGTACTTTCTGGAGTACACTGATATTCGAAAGGTGTTCTTCATGCCACATCACAGGTGGTTCCTTCACTGATAACCAGCTAAAAAGAACTGTGGACCTACATCACTCTTACTTGAAAGAAATAACAAATGCAACAGTTATACAAAAGGCAATAATTGCATTCAAGGTCACTGTTGCAATGTCAATGATGAAAGCCAATCTGTTCCCACTGTTGAAACAGTGAGTTCCAACAGTGAGCTCAGTTCATTGTTGCAACAATTTTCTGTTCAAATTGTTGAAACAATGTTCCAGTAATGAACATGGTTCCCACTGTTGCAACAATATGTTCCAACAGTAACCCTGAGTCATGCTAGTTGCCTAGACACAAACGGACAGACAGACAGACATGGATGGGCCCTGAAGATGTTCTTCACTCATGATGAAGTATGCAAAATATCTAAAAACCATGATAAATAAAGTACAGGAAATTACAAGTTTATGTAATACACCTTTGCCAAAAAAACCAGAGATAACATTATGGAAAATGTGAATTATACAATGAAGCACAAAATGATGTTTTGATCACTCACTGATATACATTCACAACATAATGATCAACTAAAACATATTTAAATAGGGAATTACAATTGTAGTGCAAATATAAACAGACCATAAATTGCAAACCATCAACACATGTACTGTTAAGTAGGATGAAAAATTAAAAGTCATTGCTGACAAGCCATTAAGAAGAAAAATTTCAGATTCTCACAGTGGAAAGTACATAGATGGCTGTCTTCTGGGTTGTGGTGCTGTGTAGTGCAGTAGAAGTTTACCGACATTACAGAGGTCCTTGCCTCCTCCATTATCAAAGCGAAGATCCAATGATAATGGAAGCAGGTCCTCTGAAATGTTGGTGAATTTCTACCATACTACTCAGTGCTACAACCCAGAAAACAGACATCTTCTTAAGCCAATGGCATAATACAACAGAAAATCAATATGTGGCATGAAACCCCTCTTTTGAATGTCAGTGTATTCCAAACAGCATACTCCTAAAAATCTTGTTTTAATTTGATTATATAAGAATTAAAAGCATTCACTCAGCAGATAACACAGCATGTGAAAGACAGAACAAAAAAATCTGCAGGCAAAACATAAAAAACAATAATGTGCACTGTTCTGTTTCATAACAAAATATTGAGTTTTTGAACTTGCTTGTTACTTTGATTATTTTCACTCACTGAACATCACACTGGTTCAGAGGTAATGAGGACAGCAATAATAGGTTAACAACGTAAAAAAAAAATGCTGAGCACCAATCAAATTCATATCCTAACAGAAACAAATAAATTCCAAATCTGAATAAACCTTACAAGACCTTTAAATTATGTCAATTAGCTCAGCTGATTGTGGCTGGTGTTAGATTGTGACAGGTGACTTGAAATAAAGGAGGCTTCACCCTTAACAAAGAGAAGCTGGTGTATTCTGCAGTAACTCATCTGAGAAAGGAAATATGCTTTGAGCAAAGTCTGATAGGTAAGATGCCCCTAATTGTGTAGCATAATCATGTTACCCTACAAACATACTTTGAGTATGCCCATCCAAATTTCTACTACTACAGTGAAATCATTTATACCTACCACACATAATTACTAACAACAAAAACTGACACTATACATAAACAACAAATTAAAAAATGTATACTGGCATTCATTTAATAACACTTTCATAGCACACAAAAAGACTGGAGCCATAGGCTTCGTTGTTACAGTTCATTCAAGTCCTCGTCGCCATTGCTATTCAGCATCACTTATCACACGCATTTTTGTCTTGTATCACAAGTTTCCAGAAACTGTATTTTTTTCTTCCTTTCACTGACAGATAATGATTTTCAGTTCAAACCGGGCATAGCAATGTTGAATGGTTATGTACTTTGAACAAAAACGACTGCTAGAATAACTCATAACTTTATTCATGTCACAACACATAGTACTCTCCTTTCAAAAAAACTTGTTTGAAGAATATCACATACCTACAAATCAGAAAATTTACACATACATCCTGGAACAACAACAAATGTGTACCACTAACCAGCCTTAAGAATAAAATTAATACCTAAGTTGTTTAATAATGAGTGCAACAGCAGCAAAAATAAAAGCGTTCATATGAGAACTCCGTGGACTAAAGAGGCAGCTAATTTAATGGTCTCCAACACTTCATCAGAACTGTACATGCCCCTTCAATACAAAATGCAATGGAAGTACAAATACAGCCCTTGTACTGTGCAGTGCAGTATATACACACGCACAGACAAAATCCTTTTATCGAACAATCGTAACCAGATTTTACACTACAAAAATTATCTGAATCCAGAGTTTCATTGCTTAACAATTGTTTAATGTATCAAGCAATCAGAGCAGTAAATAAAAGGGCATTTTAAAACAGAAATATATGTTTATAAAAATATAATAAATAAGCAGTTCAATTTGTCAACAGTTAGTGGGCACTTTCATTAACGTTTATTTTTGTCTACATAAATATTCACAAAACATTAAAACAATTATCAATAGGAATATATATTCATTAATACATTCATAATAATAATCAATTTCATTGTTCCAGTCAGTTTGTGGGCACTTTCAGTAATATTCCTTTTGGTCAATAAGAATATATACCATAAGATGGTCACAATACATTAACAATTTCATTATATTGTACAGCAGAGTACATTTTAAGAAAAACCTGGATAAAGGAGGAATACTTTCTCTAAAACACGTGCCCATATAAGCACACACACATAAACTCATAAGCTTTAGAGAAAACAGAGCCACCTATACTGCAGGAAAAAGCAAACATCTCACTCGACACTCATCAGAAGACAGGTACAATATGGGTCAAAGGACAGAACACATATTTTACAATCAAATACATTCATGTAATAATACTTGAAGAACAAAATGTCATTAGTTAATTCTTTCATGGTAAATGAATAAAAATTGCTAATATGAAGAGCTTAGTAACAAAAAATAAATCTTTCTCAGAATTGAGATCTGAAACCGAAGACAAAATTTGATCATGAATGTTATGATATTCTGAAGAGAAATGCTGACAAATGTTCTAGTCATTCAAAGGTTTTTGACCTACAACCCATAATGAATGTATTTGATCTGTGAGTTAAATTTGTAACAGAATCTTATAATATGGATGAATTACTTTAAATAATACTGAGAAATGTCTGATATGACATAAAACACTATGAAATAACACACAAATCTTATCTTGTTCTGTATTTAATGTTTTAATTCCAAATTTAACATTAACTTTAATACAGTGGGTCTGTAAATATTAAATGTAAGTATTTATTAATTCATATTAAATACCTGTATAAGAAAAGATATTAAGAACTTGTAATATCAACTGAAACGTTAA